AGGCAGCCCAAACGGACGGCAGACCATCAATAAAGTTCTGGGAACTACATCCCTCATCTATCCTTATACAGCCCAGACGAATGCCCTTCAGACTTTCACCTGTTTGGTCCATTTTGAAAGCGTTCACGAGAGGCATTTTTTTTAAAAAAGACGATGAAATCAAATTTTTTTTTGAGCGATTTTTGAGACATCAGTCCAAAGATTTTTTATTTGAGGAAATTTTTGTTTACAGATGGGAAAGTGTTGACAGTGCTGGGATACTTATTTGAAAAAAAAAAAAAAGTTAAATTCTATCTGTATTACAAAGTCCATATAAAAAAAATTCTAATTTTATTTATTGAATGACCCTCGTAAAAAAAATTGTTATTTATTTACCTTCTTAGGCATCTTACTTATTATAAAACGCAGATTGTGTGTCTTGTGTGTGTGTGTGTGTGTGTGTGTGTGTGTGTGTGTGTATGTTTATATACTGGATCGGATTTCCTACATTTTTCAACCGATTTCAACAAAACTTCACAGGACTACGTAAAACTACCTTGCGGTAGTTCTGACAGCGCAAGAATTGGAAAAACACAATTGTTTTTGCACGAAATCAATTTGAAAACACGATTAAACGGCATTAATGAAAGGGGGACAACTCATATCTAGTTATATCTATTGTAAAAACCCAGGTTGTTTGTGTGTGTGTGTGTTCGTTTATATATGGGATCGGATTTCCTACATTTTCAACCGATTTCAACAAAACTTTCACTTTTTTTTTTTGGTAGGTAGTGTTTCTTATTGTCTTGCACACTTTTTTCTTTATTTTTACATTCAGAATGCTTTAAAATTCCATTTACAAGACAATTGTTTATAATAAAATTCTATTCAATCGGTAGACTCATAACGATTGAAAACAATGTTTTTGTTTGAGTTTGGGTTTGACCAACAAGGTCAAAAAAAAAATAAAAAAAAAAAAAACTAATTAAGACATGCGTGTCCGTCAACCTTAAATAATAATCTTTGTCAATTTTATTTTTCAGTCTTTATGATGATCTATCTCTTACTGTTACATCCCCGGGCAACGCCGGGTTCTCCTGCTAGTACATGCTACGTCTTTGTCCTACAGCTTTTCGATTTCTGCTTACCTTTCTTTAAGTAATCCCTTGCACTTATTTCGAATATTCTTGTTGAAGCTGATATAATATACGCCTGGGATTCTCAAACATTTTTAAGTCGGGACGCACTTGAAATCCTACCAATAATTGTAGTGGCACTATATACAAATCTTGCAAAAGTATGTTAGAATGAAGTCAAATATTGCAGAAAAGAAATAAGGCAATAAAAAAAATATAAAATGAAACATATCTTAAATTTCTTCATTCTTGTGTTTATTAGAAACATGAGTCTTAGCAATTTCTTCAATATTTGGAGGTATATTTGATAGGCAAACTCATTTCCTCCTCAATACATTGAAGAGTTCTTCTCTTTTTGCATTTAATTGTGATGAGATCAGAAAAGCCTAATTCACATAAATATGAACGAGAAGGTACCGTAATATAATAAAATAAATATATTTATTTCTTATATCTTGACAAATATTTCTCTAGAATGCTAGGGCTCATCTAAACATCTTCCAGGGCATATCAGTGTGCTCATATGTACCATTGGTAGAAGCAAATGTTTCAGTTTATATTTACTAATAATTACGTAATTGTTCGCTCTTTAGATCTCAGAAACCATTTACTGGAATATTTGCTAGATGGTTAAATGTCATTAGTTTGATTTTCGAGGCACTGCATGTGACAAGCCAGTTTTCTTCCGCCAATGAGCTGTTAGAGCAGTGTTCCTCAAACTTTTTTAAATTCGGAGCGCACTTGAAATCCTACCAATAATTGTAGGCGCACTATATACATATTTCGAAAAAATATGTTATAATGAAGTCAAATATTGCAGAAAAGAAAAATACAGTAAAAATATAAAATAAAACGTGCCTTAAGTTTATTCATTCTTGAGCCTGATGAGTCTTAGCGATTTCTTCAATGTTTGGGCGTATATTTGATAGGCAAGTTCCTCCTCAATACATTGAAGAGTTCTTCTCTTTTTGCACTTAATTGTAGTGAGAGCAGAAAAGCCTAATTCACATAAATATGAACGAGAAGGTACCGTAATAAATATTTTTATTTCTTATATCTGGACACATATTCCTCTGGAATGCCAGGGCGTACCTAAACACCTTCCAGGGCGCAATAGTGCGCCCATTTTTTACCATTTGAGAACCACTGCCCTAATGCTAAGCTATCGTTTTGGGCTCTTGTTTTTTTTATTATTTTTTTCAATAAACATGCGTTCTCTCTCTTCTTACAATTAATTGTTAGTCCTTTTATCTTGCTTTCCTATTGCTAATTTGAAGAAATAAATACTGATACAGAATAATACATCATCCTACAGATTAACCAGAAAAAAAAAGGAAACTTCTTGTCACTTAATCATTAACAATTACTACTGGACACATTTGGTGTGAAGATATTAAAGATATGATCGTCTATCAAGGTAGTTTTCGAGCGAATGGCGTCCGATTATAAACTAAAAATTAAATAAATATCCGACACTCCACCCCGATACCAAAAAAAAAAAAGCGAAAAAATCATAATTATAATGAATTTTTTTTTCGTTCATTATTGAAATCAATACAAAAGACGGTGTCGTAGTTTTAATTTTCTAGTGTCGTTAAGAAAATTAACACTTACACGTCGAAAAATGATGTAATAGAATTAAAGATGGCGGTCGCTGCGCGAAGAGATGTTCCCGCCTTAACACATGCTATTGTGTCTTTGAAAGCGGTTATCCGTTAACAAGGTGTCAATGTCGAGTTAATAAGCGGTCGTTTTCAGCACAAAGGCGAGTGACGCAGTCGTCCTCAATCCATTCATGTCTATTCACGAGACGAGGGATCAGGGAAATATATCTACCTATTTACTTAGCTATCATAACCTATTTATATGTATGCATGGGTCGGTCTGTCTGTCTATCTTTCTCGCTAGCTACATCGTCTATCTATCTATCTATCTATCTATCTATCTATCTATCTATCTCTCGATCTCTCGATCTACATCTCTCTATATGATCTATCTCAGTATATCTATCTATCTATCTATCTATCTATCTATCTATCTATCTATCTATCTCGCTAGCTAGCTAGCTAACTAGCTATCTATCGCAGTATGTCTATCAATCGTAATTTTATCCATTTCAGTTTTTTCATCTATCTATCTATCTAATAATGAAATAATAATTTATTTTATACAGATTTTAGAGCAATCAATTTAACTTTATCTATCTATCTATCTATCTATCTATCTATCTATCTATCTATCTATCTATTTCGCTAGCTAGCTAGCTATCCAGCTATCTGTCTCAGTATGTCTATCTATTGATATTTTATCTATTTCAGTATTTTCATCTATCTATCTATCTATCTATCTAAAATAATAATTTATTTTATACAGGATTTTAAAGTAATCAATTTAACATTGTCGATCCACTTAATACAGTAGGGATTATTAATCGCATATTGAAAATTGTACAGAGAAAAAGAAACCTTATCATATATCTATGGATCACATTAGACTTATTGATCCAATGCATGCCAATCATATTTGCTGTACATTATCTATCTGAAAATTTAGGCCTGAAGATTGCGTCTAGCATGAAACAGTCTGTCGCCTCTGAGTGATGACTTCAATGTTCACTTTTATATTTACATACGTTCTATTTCTCATATTGAGCACTTTATCCCATAAATATAGCATACCTTAAGACTGCATTTTTATATATATATATATATATATATATATATATATATATATATATATATATATATATGTCTGTGTGTGTATGTGTGTGTGTGTGCATGTCTTTGTGTGTTTCCTTCCAGTATTTTTATTATACCGCGAATAATATTAACATTATACTAGTCACCAACGAATGTTTTTAATGAGATTTTGAATGAAAAAATGATAACTTTTAAAGGCAAAATATGTATAGGTTCAGTTTTATCAGACATATATATATATATATATATATATATATATATATATATATATATATATATATATATATATATGTTAGCAAATATAAATGGATATAAACTGACAGAATGAAGAAAATATCTGGAAAACCAAACAAAAATCCTTAGAATGTGATTATGTTGTTTTAATTATGAATGAAATGTCGACATCTGACGTTTCGGTTTAATAACCTTCTTCAGGACAATATTCATTAAAAATACAATACAATTAACATAATCAGTACAACTCGACGAAAACCATTTATATTTATATTTGCTAACATACTGTCCACTGGAAATACAAACCTGAATTCATTTTATTACATGGAGGACTGCATGCTTATCCGAAGATACAAGAATTTACTAGTCTCCGCATATTACTAAAACGAACTGCTTTCCATCGGAATCAAATTTTATAAAATTTTAAGAATACGTTTTTAAAGCGTCGCCCATTTGACGACAACGTGACCACGCTCAAACGGAAAGCTGATCATTCAAAATTTTCTATCATCTGTTTTGGATAAGACTTGTTTTTTTATGTCCATCGTTTTCGTCGAGTTGTACTGATTATGTTAAAGGTGAGATTGGAAAAAAAAAAACAAAAAAAACGGGGCGTAGATTGATATTTTGGAAATATACGATGGCAGCAATTTCGAAGATTTTCCTTCTGACTAAATTATTCTCTCTTTTGATGAGTGTAACATTTTTAGATCAAAATTGTGGTCGAATTTATTTCTGCTTATCACGAGTGAATTTGTTAAATTACTATTTATGAGGTGTTTTTCGTGTTCATAGACAAGTTCTTTTTCTTTCAAATTTCTGCACATTTGCCCAATGTATTGTGAAGAACAGTCCAAGCAATTAATTTTATATATGCGGCTTCTGAATTATTATTATTCTCTCCTCGTGGAACGGTGAGATTTGAGAGAGGCTTCCAGTTCTGGCGAGGTAGATGCACGATAACTCAGACTTAAATAAAGATCACCATATCTACAGGGTGTACATATCTCTGCCACGCCAATCATATCTATCTATCTATCTATCTATCTATCTATCTGTTTGTCTAACAAGGAGATTTCAGATAGGTCTCCAATTCTGGGCGAGAGATGCACGATGGCATGGCGCTAAAGAAACATCGCCATATTTACAGGATGTAGACATCTTCGCCACTCTATCTATTCCTATCTATCTATCTATCTATCTATCTATCTATCTATCTTAGTCTGTTCATATGTATCTGTCTGTTTACATCTATCTCAGTCTTTTTCTTTCTTTCTATCGCATTCAGTTTCATATCTATGTTTCCATCTATCCATCTGCCTATCTATTATATATATATATGCACATACATACATACACACACACACACACACATATATATATATATATACATATATATATATATATATATATATTGCATTCAGTTTATATCTATACTTCCCATTGTTTATATCTATCTATCTATCTATACAAACACACACATATATCTATATACAAACCAGTTTTCTTTTTCCTTCTTTCTTTCTTTCTTTCTTTATCAAATCATATCTATCTATCTATCTATCTATCTATCTATCTATCTATCTATCTATCTTAGTTTGTTCATATGTATCTGTCTATTTACATCTATCTCAGTCTTTTTCTTTCTTTCTATCGCATTCAGTTTCATATCTATGTTTCCATCTATCCATCTGCCTATCTATTATATATATATATATATACATACATACATACACACACACACACAGATATATATATATATTGCATTCAGTTTATATCTATACTTCCCATTGTTGATATCTATCTATCTATCTATCTATCTATCTTTACACACACATATATCTATATACAAACCAGTTTTCTTTTTCCTTCTTTCTTTCTTTCTTTCTTTCTTTCTTTCTTTCTTTCTTTATCAAATCATATCTGCCTGTCTGTCTAGCTATCTATCTATCTTTACAATAAGTTTATATCTATCAACAAGGGAAAAAGCTAAAAATAAAAAAATATGTAAAAAACGAAGGAAAGAAAAAAGGAAAAACGAAGGAAAGAAAAAAGAAAAAACGTATGTAACGAACACATACACACATAAAAAAAAGAAAATGAAAGTAAAAATTATTTCATTTAAAAAAAGACAACAAATAAAAAAAAAACGATTTTTAAAAAAAGACGTAATTCCGGTCAAAAAGACAATACATTTATTTTTAAATATAATTTTTTTTTTTAAAAATACCATAGACTAAACAAATAAAACAATATCTTGAACAATATTCGGGATGGATTTTCTAATTTATTTAAACGGCGATAAATTTCTCACCGTTTTCGGTAGATTTTCATCGACTTACACCGAAATAATTGCCAGCCTCTTACAAAGTCTGCTCTCACGTAGCAAGTGAGGAGGTGGACGCCATCAATTACTTGACCAGCGGCTGTCATTAACGAATATATTTTCTTTTTTAAAATTTACACGTATATGATGTAAGGCAGACTTATCTCAGAGAGCGTGTAAAGTTATCAGGAGGGAAATATTTAAAACCTATCTCATTACATATATCTATATATATATATATATATATATATATATATATATATATATATATATATATATCATTTGTCCCTCTTCAAGACTGTATCGCTAGAAATAACAAAACAACATCTTACATAGGACATACAACCACAACTCTCGCTCGAAGACTCACGTATCATAATTCCTGTCAAAATGATATAAAGGAAAACATGATATTATCGTTCGCATCAACGTCAGTCGGTATTATCGTGTCATTGTGAACACCGTGATCCTGATCAGTGTCTACTACATAAGATTTTGTATTCAGAGTTTATCTTTCTCCTAGAATGGTTGCCAATCACGGCTAGAGATCCCCGTCTGTGTCACTATTTATCCCATATAAAATATATTATACAAACTACAATAATGTAAAAGACAGCTTTTTCTGAATAACGGTAATACAAAATAAAGTGGGAAAAATAATTGCAAATTTTAGAAGCTATTCATATGAAATCCAATCAACGAACACTGAACAATAGCTCATAAGATTCTAGAATTGGAGTGCTAAAATGAATTTAAATTCTTACAATCTACACTACGTCATGGCCTCACGTCCCCAAAAGATTTTTTAAAAAGACACCCTTTCTCACATTACTTGGCAAACATAGATGACTCAATGTCGCGAGTTACGTCAAAGATTTAAAGTAAAACGTCGAATCCTGAAGAAGAACTGAAGGAAGTCGAAACATTAGCACTTTAGTAAGAATTAAGAATTCATCAAAAGAATCTTTAGTCAGTCCCGACAAAAAAACACACACATGTATAAACAAAAAATAAATAAACGATTCTTCAATATCTGTCTATATCTATAAGATGAGGTGTTATGGTTACTTATATTATTTACATTATTCGGGCTGTTATCCTCATCGTCATTGCCATATTCACAACATTTCGGCCGTTGTACGCTCTGGCCTTCTTCAGGTGACTGGAATTTCGAATCGAACCCTTTATTTCGTCCACCGAGATAGATTGTTCTAGTTCCACACGCCATGCCTCTTCCAGATGTCTCAGTTATTTCCCTTTAACTCAATTCTCCAAGTTTTTTGGTTTTGAAGTCACAAATCTTTAGGTTTAGTCTCTGGATCTAACCAACGTCTTTATTCGAAATTCCAATTAGACGCCTTGAAACGCCTTGAGTTAGGACCGGACGTTCGAGACACTTTTCTCGTAAATAAAAAAAAAAAATTAATAATTGCTCTCACAAAAGGCGCTGATCACTTTTTGTTTCCCGGTTGTCCATTTTCTATATCCCTTGCGTGTATTTTTACTTACTGACATTTAAGAAAAATATATATATATATATATATATATATATATATATATATATATATAAAGACATTTTTATGTTTAATTGTCGGACTTTTGTCCAATTTTAATGTATATATATATATATATATATATATATATGTGTGTGTGTGTGTGTGTGTGTGTGTGTGAAAATATATAGAAAATAGGAAAGAACTGGTTAGGTAAATAATCCAAAGTTCTTTAGTATTTTTGTTATTATTTTTAAAAATTGTGCTCGATAAAAAAGTAGAGCATCAATTATATATATATATATATATATATATATATATATATATATATATATATATATATATATATATATATATATTGATAGAAATTATTAGGAGGATTTGAGATAATTATAATTAAATAATTCATCGAGTCTAGAAGAAACCTCAACAGAATTTGGAAAGTACTGGACGGCCATTTTGTCTTATATTTGGGACTCATAAGCAGTGCGCATCCACTATCGTGAATTGAAACGAATGCTTGATCTCATATTCTGTGGTGGAACTCATCAGAGTTTCTCCTTGCCAATAGGACTGTGCCCCCACAAGCCACGACGACTGTCACCAAGACGCTCCATTCAGAGCATTTAAAGCTGGTTCAAGTAAGGATATACAAGTGATAGAAATTATGTACTCGCTTTTTGATTTCCTATGACTTCCTTTAGGTTTTAATTTTTTCCTATCCAAGTTTTTAATTTAATTTAATATTTAATTTAAACCGTTAACCTTTATTTGTTAATATTTCTGAATTTTAACAATTAGTTTTGTCTGTAAGTTAACAAACATTGCATTTACTGCCATTACACACATACATACATATACACACACACACACACACACATATATATGTCTATTTTTATTTATTTGCTATCAGCTTCAAGGATCAATTTCTTAGTGCTTTTAAAAAACTGAGTAAGAATGACGCTGTAGTTTTGGTTATTTCTTTTATATTCGCAAGTAGTTTCACTCTCATCTAAGATCATATTCACAGGTGAATTGAAAAAGACAAAAAAATAGTGTAATTGATAGTTGAGGATTTTTTTTAAATGCGCATGCACATGCTCCCTTATATTTAATTTACATTTAATATGTAAGGGAGGTAACTGAATTTCATCTTTTTTTAGTAATGTTTCAAAAATACTAACCTGCAAATTTTTCGATTTTTTTTACTTTTATAGCAACAATGTTTTAAAATATCTATAAAAAATGTTATGTAAAATAAAATGTAAAAAATGTTTTGTAAAAAAAAATATATATATATATATCTTTCTGTACGAGGCCTGACTGGACCACGATGGACGAGGCTGTGCCATATCCCGCCTTGTTGGGAGTTCTTGAATGAAGTCTTTCGCGAATTCTGTAACAGTATTTGCGGACTTATGTTTATTTGAACTTTTGTCTTTGTTTTGGCGTGAGGAAACCGCTACCAATTTTTCTGAAAATTTTTTGATCTATCTATCTATCTATCTATCTATCTATCTATGTCTGTCTGTCTGTCACTCTCTCTCTCTGGCTCTCTCTCTCTCTCTCTCTCTCTATATATATATATATATATATAATGAAAAAAAGACAAAAAGATAACTTATCTTAGCCGACCCGTCTCTTCCTCTTAGAAACTTTATCAAGGTAAATATAAGTACTTTATTTTGTGACAGGTAATTACATTTGCCTTGATAAAGACCCTCAGAGGACGAAACGCGTCGGCTAAGATAAGTTTTTTCTTTTTTTTAATATTTTCCTTTTACAATCTACCTGAAATGTTTACACACACACGCACAGACACACGTACACACACACACGCACAGACACACGTACACACACACACACACACACACAAACACACACACGTACACACACACACACACACACACACACGTACACACAGACACACACACACACACACACACACACACACACACACACACACACACACATATATATATTTAATGAATAGAAGGCGCGTGATGGGTATAATTTTCTTTAAATGGAAACTTGTCGCCTGGCTCATTATTGAAGGACATTTGAAAGATTTTCCATTTAATTTTATTATCATTAATAAGCGCCATTTTTTTTCATTCTATTCCTCAACATTTCATTTATGTGTATCGATTTTCATTCGCGCTTAATTATTATATTTTTTGAACATTAGTTTTTTTTTTCTGTTTTTTTTTTTTCAGTTTTTACATTCTTTCCTTTTAGTTTTTCTTTCTGTTTTGCTTTCCTACTTTTCTTTTTCTTTTTTTTCTTTTCTGTTTATTCATTTTCGATCGTTCTTTCTTTGGGATGTTTCTTTTTTCTATCACTTTTTTTCTTTGTCTTCTCTTTTCTTACTTTTCAGTTGATTTTTTGTATTTTTTTTCCATTGGTTTTTACTCTTCTTTCTTTTTTTTAGTGTTTTTCTTTTTTTTTTTCTCTTTTAAAAAGTTTTTTTTCTTTCTATTCAGTTTTGTTTGTTGCAAACGATCACTTTTTAAAAAGTTTTCCTTTTTTGTTTTTCTCAAGTGATATCTTTAAAAACATTTTTTTCTTTTCTTTTTATTTATTACAAGCGATTTCTTTGTAAAAAAGGTTTTTTTTTTTCTTTCTTTTCAGTTTTGTTTGTTGCAAACGATCACTTTTTTTTTTTTTTTCAAGTTTTATCTTTTAAAAACATTTTCTTTTCTTTTCTCTTTTTTATTTGTTACAAGCTTTAACCGCTTTTAAAAGGTTTTTTTTTTTTTTTCAGTTTTGTTTTTTTGTTGTTTGTCTTTTAAAAAATTTTCCTTTTTGTTTTTCTCAAAACCAGGATCTTTAAAAACATTTTTTTCTTTGTCTTTTATTTGTTACAAATAAAAAATTTTTTTTCTTTTTTTCAGTTTTGTTTTGCAAACGATCACTTTTAAAGTTTTCCTTTTTTTTTTTTCAAGTGATATCTTAAAAAACATTTTTTCTTTCTTTTCTCTTTTTATTTGTTAGTTGACCTCTTTATAAAAAAGGTTTTTTTCTTTCTTTTCAGTTTTGTTTTTTGCAAACGATCACTTTTTAAAAGTTTTCTTTTTGTTTTCTCAAGTGATATCTTTTTTTTTTTCTTTTTCTTTTATTTGTTACAAGGACCTCTTTAAAAAGTTTTTTTTTTTTTTCTTTTCAGTTTTGTTTTTGCAAACGATTTTTTAAAAGTTTTCTTTTTGTTTTTTTTTGATATCTTTAAAAAACATTTAGTTTCTTTTCTCTTTTATTTGTTACAAGCGACCTCTTTGTAAAAAGGTTTTTTTTTTCTTTCTTTTCAGTTTTGTTTGTTGCAAACGATCACTTTTTAAAAAGTTTTCCTTTTTTGTTTTTCTCAAGTGATATCTTTAAAAACATTTTTCTTTCTTTTCTCTTTTATTTTTGTTACAATCGACCTCTTTGTAAAAAGTTTTTTTTTTTCTTTTCAGTTTTCAATTTTTGTTGCAAACGAAAAAAAAAAAGTTTTCCTTTTTTGTTTTTCTCAAGTGATATCTTTAAAAACATTTTTCTTTCTTTTCTCTTTTATTTGTTACAAGCGACCTCTTTGTAAAAAGGTTTTTTTTTTCTTTCTTTTCAGTTTTGTTTGTTGCAAACGATCACTTTTTAAAAAGTTTTCCTTTTTTGTTTTTCTCAAGTGATATCTTTAAAAACATTTTTCTTTCTTTTCTCTTTTATTTGTTACAAGCGACCTCTTTGTAAAAGGTTTTTTTTTTCTTTCTTTTCAGTTTTGTTTGTCTGAAGCGATCTATTTTCAAAAAGGTTTTCCTTCCATTTTTGTTTTCTTTGTCCCAAGCGATATCTTTTTAAAAATTTTTTATCTTTCTTTTATATCTTTTCATATTTATTCACTGACTTTAGTTGCATTCTCATTATTTCTTACTTTCATTATTTCTCCTTTTGCTACTTTTGTTCTTTCTTTTCTTTTGGTGAATTTTCTTTTTTTTTTTTTGCATTTGGCCATTTTTTCTTTTCTCTTTTCAATATTTTTTACAATTTTCATTTTAGTCGCCATTTTCGTTTTTTGTTTCCTTTCCTTCTTTCTTTTTCTCTTTCATTTTTTTCAATCGTAAAATTTGATCGTATCATTTCTATTTTGTTTTTTCTTTCATTTTTTTTTTTATTCTTTCTTCCTATTTTATTTTTCTATTGATTTTTTTCTTTAAATCGTCTTCATTTGTAGTTATATTTATCTTTTCCATTCATTATAACTTAAAATAAATAAATCTATCTATCTATCTATCTATCTATCTATCTATCTATCTATCTATCTATATTACATCTATCTATCTATTATCTATCTATCTATCTATATATATTATGCTATCTAGATAGATATCTATTTCAGTCTTTCATATCTATCTATCTATCTATCTATCTATTCATCTATCTATCTATCTATCTATCTATCTATATATCTATCTATCTATCTATCTATATATCATCTATGTTCATATTTATCTATCTATCTATCTATATTATTATATTATTTATCTATCTATCTATCTATTTATCTATCTAGATATCTATTCTATCTATCATATCTATCTATCTATCTATCTATCTATCTATCTATCATTATCTATCTATCTATGCAATCTTTCTATCTATATTATTATATTCAGTAATTTTCTATTTATCTATCTATCTATTTTATCTATTCTGTTGGTATCTATCTATCTATCTATCTATTTATTCTATCTAGCTGTATCTATTTATTCTATCTATTTATCTATCATTCATATCATTCATCTAATTATCTAAATTTGGGGAAACTCCGATAAATTTGTGGAATCAAGCAAAGTGAAAGAGTTCAACATTTAAATGCGAAACTTGAATGATCCATCTCTTGATCGAATATTGATTTCTGATGAGAAATAGATCATTTATGACAAACGATCGTCTCGATGGCTTGATCATGACGAAGCCTCCAATCACTTTCCAAAAACTGAAATAGCAGAAGATTATTGTGACTGTCAGCAAATGGCGTTATCTAACTCCCAAGTGTCGTCTCTTATGCGGTGTTGATTGACTATTCCTATGATGGCTTCGACTTCTAGCACATACAAAACGTCCATCCAATGAAGCTCTATATTGATCATAAGTATAAATTAGTTTCCATGTACTTCATCGTCAAAATGCTCTGTTTATTTATTAAACAGTATATTTATTTATTTATTTATTTTCGTCTAATGCGCTGAATGTTCGAGAAATCTTATTAAAGAAAAATATGCTCCCTTCGGCAGGATTCGAACTTGCGTCCCCTGTAACTACAGTTACATTTGGTACGTAGTAACCAACTGTGCTCCAGACAACCATACAGACTAGGCCAAAATTGTGCATTTAAGCGAAACTTCTCTCGTCACAGATCTCCAGAAATTTTTAAGATCTCCAGAAATTTTTAAGATCTCCAGAGTTTCATATTGAAACATGAAGAAAGCAATTTTCATAAAGGAATTAATGTTTTTTTTTTATTACTTAAGCGTTATTTTTAGTGGATACTTGTATTTGAGTAGACGCCCCGTTTATTTTTTAAACAGTATATTTATTTATTTTCGCTATAATTTAAATATTCGTATTTGTCTAGAATCTCCGTTTAAAAAGGTTTAGTTGGTTCAAGTGTGCAGGGTCTAAGGGTAGCTGATATACGCAGGGGAACGCAGGTTCGAATCCTAGCGGAGAGCGCAAAAATATATATATTTTAATAAGATTTCTCCAACATTCAGACCGGTAGACGAAACTTGTGGGTATCTATCTACCCATCTATCTTTTCAGGTATGGAGTGTAAAATTAAACAAGATATAAAGACATTTTTATGTTTAACATTCTTTTTATAGATACAAGTATTTTAGTAAATGCTCTGTTTATAATTCAGTATTAAATAACATTTACCGGCCTGAATGTCCGAGAAATTTTCATAGAAAATATTCGTTCTTTGACAGGATTCGAACCTGCATCCTATACGGAACCGCCATTAACCTTGACGTGCCTAACCACTCGGCCACAAAGGAGCGTACGATTGGCAAGGTCGAATTTACTGCTTATAAACTTCAATCTTCCATAAATCTCTCACGTACATTCATAACTACTCATGGCGTATCAAATGTAAACAAATGACGTCATACTTAAATGACGGTTCCGTATAGGATGCAGGTTCGAATTTAAATAATTGTCGGACTTTGTCCATTTCATATATATATATATATATATACTTGAAACACACACACATACTGTTACATTAGAACATGTAACTACTACAAAATTGTACAATTTGTTTCGACGTTTTTTAAAACGTCTCATCAGGTAGCTAGCAAGGACGATATTTATTGCTCTACTCTTGTATTGAACCCTGTTTTAAATTAACGTTGCATTCTTCATTTTTTACATTGTGCGTGTGTGTGTTTGTGTGTGTGTGTGTGTGTGTTTGTGTGTGTGTGTGTGTGTGTGTGTGTAAAAAAATACGTGACTAAGTAGATACTCTTATTAACACTGATCCATCAAAAGAGAGCTCAATATAATTTTTATTATAGATTCAATATAAGTGAATTACAATTAATGAGAGCCAGACAATTTACCTCTTACAGATGATCATTTCGTCTATGGGATAGAATTTTTTTTTCTCTGGATTTAAAACTCCAAATATAATTATTGTATTTTCGTAAATTTATTTGGATTGATAAGTCCAGGGAAAAACTACTTTCCCATGGACGAAATGATCAACTATATGAGGTATTTTTTCGTTAATGTGTATTTAATTATATATATATATATATATATATATATATATATATATATATATATATATATATATATATAAGTTTTCGTCTGAAAAATTTTCGTCTTTTTAGGGATACTGGGAAATTAAAATTATTTTTTGGGTAGAATTAAAAATACAAATATTAGTAAAAAAAGAAAATGAAATTTAAAATTCCTAGAATGAATTTATTGGTACGTGTGTCGGCGCATCAACCAACAAAAGAAATTTAGTCTGATAAAGACTTAAAAACGAAAGACGCATTGACACGAAAATTTTTTCCATCTTGTCATAAATTTATTCCCCCAATACTCCTTTTGAAATTTAAAAATATGTTCGATCTCTGTCTCTCTCTCTCTCTCTCTCTGACACACACACACACACACACACACATATATATATATATATATATATATATATATATATATATATATATATATATATATATATGTCACATATACCAGTGTGAACGCCCATTTTTCTTCCCGCCTTCTATGACGCAAGGTAGTTACGGACATTGTCAACAAAAAGAATGGCACAATTAAGTCCTCAGAACACTGGCAAGGAAGAAAGATCCCCGAAGCCGAAGCTTGCATGAACCTCAAGAGCAGGGATGGGCGGTGTCTCGCAGTGACGGGTCGTGGTTAAGGACAGGCAACTCTTAGCTCACGACGTTTATACACAGCAGACCAATATACGAATTGCTTTCACCAGCCTGCAGGCTTTACTTTAACTTTAAGCTGGTTGAATAATCAGGAATCGACAGTCAGAGCCTTCTTTTTTTTATTTATTTGTCTTGTCAAAGGTTTTATAGAATCCGTGTCCAGAGGCCAAAACTGGCCGTATTGGTACTGGGAAGCATTGCACCAAATGCTTATTCAAGTGCTGCTGGCTGTTGTTTCGGGTTTGGTTGGGTATATATGGGCATCCCAAAATAGTTTTGCCTGTGGGCATCGAAGGATCTGGGAGACGAAGTTTAGAAAAACACGGAGATGGGGGTGTGCTTGTATGGATCTGTATTTGAACGGAGAAAGTGGACGTATTGGTCAGTATTTCGTAGCTAAAATCTTTTTTTATTTATTTTTATTATTGTTTTCATCACCGTTATCATCTTACCCCTTCTCCTTCTCCCTCCCAAACTCTCTCACTCTCTTTCTTTCTCTCTCTCTCTCCTTGTCTCTGTCTCTTTTGCTTGTTAGACCTTTTATTCTTTTGGGGTGAGGTCTGGTCATTCTTCTTCGGCCAACTTGCCCGTAGGTCACAATTCATTTTTGAATTTACAAGCCAAGTACTTGGAGTAAAGATATTTTCTGACACAAAACAATAGCATGCTATATATATATATATATATGATTTATATATATATATATATATATATATATATATATATATAGATTACATATTATATATATATATATATATATATATATATATATATATATATATATATATATATATATATATATATATATATATATATGCAGATAAGTAGCAAATAGGAAAAGTTTTATAAATTTAACATGTAACGTTATTTACTTTGGTGGGCGTAATAAAAGATGGCTAAAACATCGTTGTTGAGTATGAAAGTCACAGAGAAAACTTTGTAATACAGTTTAGCCTCGCTTCTCAAATGTCTCTCATGTCGAAAAATGTCGGTTTTTGAACAGAAATTTCGAGATGAAAATATCTCGGTTATCGAACAAAATTTCGGTTCTCGAACTACATTGCCGAAACGAGTTAATAACCAGAACGGAATAAATTCTGAATCGACCGCCGTGTTTTATACATTCGCGTGTTGTATTGTGCTTTTTTTTTTTTTCAAATTTATTGCAATGTAACTTTTTTTCTCTACATTGATTCTTATTGGAAAAAATAGTTTCGGTTTACGAACATTTCGGGTTACGAACGTCCTTCAGAAACGAATTAAATTCGCGAATCGAGGTTTCACTGTGCTCATATTTTCTTTGAACGAATCCGGTTCTTTAAACGGTAAGAAAATTTTAAAACCTAGTGGGGTACAAACTTGGAAGACAAGAGACACGTACATTTCGTTGTCAAATTGGTTTATTTTTGTGATTGTTTCTTGATTAAACGCCGAATAATTAATTAATTAAAAACAACAATGATGACGATATAAGTAAAAATAAAACTACAACGAAAATAGTAATAAACTGTATGTCAAGCTTCGAGATATACCGGGGGTCAAAATTTAGATTTAAGACAGAAAATCTTTGACATTTGCGACTTTAATCTACATGCGACAATTCCATGTATTCTCTTTTGTCCGTCTACCATTTTATATAAGAAAGATTTGTTATTCATCATGACGATCGTCTTCGAGTATAGAATCCAGAAGTTAGTCAGTAGGAAAGCGTTGTTCAGTTTAGCAGTGGATATTTTTTTTAAAAAGTAGCAGAGCGTAGTTCGTCCTTCTGCTATCTCTTCGCCTGACAAGCTTGGCACTGGACATTCGGATAGAGTAAACAAAATGGCCGCTTTTATACACGACGGATTGAATGTTCTACGTCTTCTGATTGGTTAATCCTTCTATTGGTGGACTATAAAGTGAGTCAAGTAATTTGGGCTAACTCACTAGTATATATACACAAAAAACTGCAACAAGAATCCATCGACAGAAGCGTTGTCATTCTGAAGAATTCTCAGAACGCATCTCTTATAAGTTTTATTCACTATATTGTTTAACCTCAATGCTTTTGTATGCGACCGGAGAATTTCTGGTCACAATTTTGACCTGAAATGTATTATCATTATAATTTCTTTTGGTTTTTGCTGTATACACATTTACGTCAGGGCCCAACCAGATACCTTAGGTCAGAAATGTCTTCATGACATTTTCTACTGAAAAAAAAAATCACACACTTATATTACATAGATAAAGCTCTTCGTAATATAAGCTGTACTTGGGAGTACATTTTTCTTGTATTTCTGTAAGGCATGAGCTGCCAGGAATCATTTAGTTGTATCGTCGAGGTGATTGATACACAGAGAA